GTTTTTGGGGCAGACAATGTATAGTTTAATACTGGGAGAACACTATTTATTGCCTGTTCTCTGCTGAAATCCGTTCTAATCATATCGATTGGGATCCTCCCGATCCACTCTTGGTGTTTTAGGCATTAAAAACACCGGTCATGGGTTATCATTCTCGTGGAACTTGTCGATTTTATTTATTTGCATAGAGGCGAGCTCACAGCCCACCTGGTGTTAAGTGGTTACCGGAGCTCATAGACATCTAAAAAGTATATGTCACCATCCACCTTGAGATATGAGTTCTAAGGTCTCACTATAGTTACAACGGCGGCCCCACTCTTCAAACCGAAGCGCATTACTGCTTCACGGCAGAAATAGGCAGGGTGGTGGTACTTACCCGTGCGGGCTCACAAGAGGTCCTACCACCAGTAAAAGATGCGATGAAGAGTTCGAAGTACAAATTAACTCAGAGACAGTCTACTGAGTTTCATACTGGATCTTCTCCTGGGTCGCGGTTGGTGGTTCGATCCGGTGGTTGATTCAGCGAAGCACTGATCTTCTTAGAGAAAATCTTAGCAAATTCTCTCAGGATGAGGGAGAAGTTAAAATAGCCCCCCTAGCTACTGGAAGATAGATAGGGCAAAAAATGTGAAATCCTTAGTCGCCCTTTATGACATCCACGGGAACAATTGGGGGCCACACAGCCATTTAAATAAATAATTTAAATATATGTCTGTGAGACAGATTATCTTTCCGTTCTTAATATTTTTATATATATTAAATTGTTCCATTATATGTGTATTTGACACACACACACATATACTCTTTGTTTATTGTCAAACTAAAGTCTGTAGTCAAATTGAGAATAGGTTAATATTCTTTATCTTATAATTACGAGTATTTACGAGTATTAGTGTAGTCTTGGCGATATCTGTGCCTATAGAAATATATCTGACAATAGAACCATAATATAATGTCCAAACTTATAATTTTAATTAATTATAGTCGAATTTCGACTACTGTGGGAGCAGTAGTATTTAATAAATATCTACATAACTATACTCATTTGTGTGACGTCAGACGCGTAAGATCAACTGGATTGATCGAATAGAGTTAATATGTTATAAATTTTTTTAACATAGATTCGCAATATCGAATATTAACGAAAGTAAGCTTTAAGCTATTCATTTTAGCCTTTACTTTTTAGTATTTCAATTCGGCACAAGTACTTGCTTTTTAAAAATAGCGACAACTTCTTTTAGAAGCGTGTGAATTAAAATGATCGTTCTGTGAAATGCGGAATTAAAAAGGCATGTTGAATAAAAACGCTTTGTAGGATAGCAGCCTTTAGGAACTATTCATATGCTATTCAACCAGTGCGGTGAATGTTTATCTCTTGTTTTGGCTTCGACAATTACAAACCTCTTTTCTTTGCTATTGCACTTTATTTGCAAAAATGCTATTTTAAATAACTGCTGTTCTCTTTTCTTGCTTATAATTTCATTTGGGCTTCGTGCCCATGGGCACGAATGCAGATTGGGATTGCCAAAGCAAAATAGGGCATAGTAGGAGTGTAATACGAACATATAATGAGGTGGTAAGGTAGGTAGTTTAGATGAATGACTCGGTCACACGATTTTTTTAAATAAATTACTACTACTCGTATTGATCGGGCGTCTTGTGAGCCCTCTCTATGAAACTGAGACTTAAAAATCATGTCTTACTGTGGGTGGTTGCATTTAAGTCAATAATGCTTAGGGGCTCCGCCACCAGACGGATCGTGAGCTCGTCCACTCACCTGAGCAATAAAAAAGGCTATTTTCATGTAAGATTCCCTGTGCCTAACACATAAGTGAAAGGTATTTGAGATTCAAATGCATGTTTGTTTGTGAAATGGAATCAGATGGCTTGAGAGTCCCCCCGCAAACAACTTTTAAAATGTAATGTTAACTCTTTGTAAAGACTTCGTTGATAATCATTTTCTCGATACAAACATCAGTGCTTCCCTTCGTTTGCCGCTAGGGGCGCTGTTCTAACTCCATACAAATTTGAGTTAACTTTTACGCGATCGAGAAGTTAAAAAACTCGCACTAAGGACATAGATGTCTATTTAATTATGAATAAACAAAAAAAAAAATTATCTTATATATAAAATTCTCGTGTCACAATGTCAGTTACCATACTCCTCTGAAACGGTTTGACCGATTTTTATGAAATTTTATATTCATGTTCAGTAGGTCTGAGAATCGGCTTCTATCTATTTTTCATACTCCTAAGTGATAAAGGTTGTCCACCCCTAACATTTTTTTTTTGTTTTTTTTTTTTGTTTGTTTTAGTGATTCATTATGTGGTTGAATGAGGTTTTGTTATTTTTATATTCCCTCATCGTTCACAGCGCTTCATACCTCTTACACTCATTTATCACATCCTTACACACTTACAATAAGTTAGTTTTTTTTTCTATACTAGAAATTCCCTAAGAATCTTATATATTATTATTATGGCAAAACAACGTTTGCCAGGTCAGCTAGTATTCTCAGAATAATATACAAGAAGACGCTGCGTTCAACAATAAAAACATCGAGCATTTCGTGTCTTCAACTTTCAACTTTCTAATTCGATATCCAGGTAACATGTTGCTGTATACCAAGAGCCTATATATGTGTTACCTACTAAAGCACACTGCTTATACATACATAATATCTGTAGTGCTAGGTGCCGACGCCGCCAACTGTTAAGTCAGGTCAAGGGCTTTCGTTGGAAACCCCGGCTTTTAGCTTGTATTGAAAACGGCGTCACTTCAAAACATAAAAAAAGTGTATGTGTTATAGAGTCTTGCATTTTGCGTTCAATGTTTACACTCTGTGTGCTTAGTGCGAGTTTTTTAACGTTCTCGTTAGCGTAAAAGTTCACTCAAATTTGTATGCAGTTGGAACGGTGCCCCTAGCGGCAAACATAAGCAAAGGTTCCTAATCCATACAAATTTGAATTAACTTTTACGCTATCGAGGACGTTAAAAAACTCGCACTAAGCACACAGTAGATTAAGGATTCAGTTTTCGTTTAGATTAGGTTTTTTGTTTGCCTACCTTTTTCTATTAAAATAACCAACATGATGACCGCTTACGATTATCAAAAAGAATCCATTTTTCATCGCAAGTGACGCAAGGCATGCCTTAACGCGTTGGTCGAGCTGACGATCGCTTAGTTCGTACGGCGCCCACTTATCTAGTACTAGCTTTTGCCCGCGACTTCGTCCGCGTGGATTCACAAATAATGCTTTATTTTAGAACAAATTTGGTTAGCATAAAAAACGTTATAGTGAGCCAACCTTAATCAACATATAGACATATGCTGTTGCAGACTTTTTTTTAGATCTTTTAAAAGGGAACAATTTTCTCGTACATTATTTTAGCGAAACTTTAATCCTTTTTGCAGCGCACGCAGCGGAAGCTCTCAAAAGGGAAAAAAACCCCGATTTTGAAACATTATTTATTGGTGCTCCGCTTGTATTGGTCTTAGTGTGATGTTATATAGCCTATAGCCTTCCTCAATAAATGGACTATATAACATTGAAAGCATTTTTCAAATCGGACCAGTAGTTCCTGAGATTAGTGCGTTCAAACAATCAAACTCTTCGGGTTTATAATGTACTAGCGGCCCGCTCCGGCTCCGCTCGGGTCTTTAACAAAAACATTGTTTTATTTTTTTAAATAAAATAACACTTGTTGCGGCATAATTACAATAGTTAGACATATGCTGTCGCGACACTTTTTGAAAATAATAATGTGTTCTACAAAGTCGTAATACATGTTTTTATTCTATCATCAATAGTTTTCGCAGGGCACGCGATGTAAAGAATATTTTAGGTAATTTTTTTACAAGTTGGGTTACATTATTGGAGTTTTAGTAAGGATTCCTATTTTTTTTCCAAAAAATTTGTCGCCTATGTCACTCGAGAATAGTTTAGCTTCTAAACAGTGAAAGAATTTTTCAAATCGGTTCAGTAGTTTCAGCGCCTATTCAGTACAAACAAACAAATCTTTCCTCTTTATAATATTAGTATAGATTTGTATAGATGACCTTGCCAATTTTATGCAAAATTAAATGTAGGTACGTCGAAAGCTGTTGCTAACCAGCGGTAGATTGAATATGAGTATTGGGCTGCCACTATTGCATTTAATTCGTCGTTGTTGACTTTAGTTTTCGACGAGGTTAATTTGGTAAATCAAAATTTCTAGGTCGGAAGTATTCAAACTAATAAAGAGTCGTGCGTTCGTTTGCAGTATTCACTCTGTACATGTCATTAATGCTATGAGTTGTTTATGCGGCTTTGCTATTTCAAGGGACCTCGTATTCCATAATTAATGGTATTTTTATCGTATACACATTGATGAGAAAATACACAAATGTATTGAAAACAATAATCAACAAACGAACGACCGTCTGGTGTAGTGGTAAGTGACATGGTCACTACACCAGGGGGGTCGCGGTATGCCATTAAGAGAATGGCATAAAGAAAATTATTCGCATCAAACCGTTGGATTGCGATTAAAATGTAGAATGCGATTTCGTCTGCCCATCAACGGCAATAAAAAGCTATTTTAATTTACTTAGGCAGCTGTTAGGAAGAATTTTATATCCGTAATCGTACGGATCATGACGGCAAATGGAGGACATAGCGAGCGTATTTTCTGACACTTAAAACTACCCAGTGGGAAAATTATTAATAATTGAATTACAGAATTCAAATACAAACTTGAACAAAATTATTGTGTAATTTGTACAAAATATTGGCAGATAATTTACTCTGTTGTTCTTGAGACGTGGCATTATATATTGTTAAGGACAAAAATATTTATAAATTTTATTATTAATTAGTAAAAGTAGATATCCTACCTATTAACCAAATCAAACATGCATTCTCCGATACGCAACTGTCCACTTTCATTTATTTTTTCCTAAGTTATTTAAGTTATTGTCTAAATTAATAACGTGTCAATAATGGGTTTTTTTTCACAGGATCCTGCTTCTTCTTCTACGAATCGCGACTCTAATGTCGCTCACTCCCGCAGACCCAGAAGATACATTTACGACCCGCACAGTGAGTTAAGATTATTAAAACAGGACTGATTTTCTTTTATCTATCAATTAATAAACTAGTCGAATATAGATTTTATTTATTTTATTCGTACAGATTTATTTAATGCTTTGTCGATTGGAAGCTCAGCCCTAAACTGATTTTCAATTATATTGTCGTAAAATTTTATCCAATTTTTTTTTTTTTTATTGCTTAGATGAATGGACGAGCTCACAGCCCCCCTGGTGTTAAGTGGTTACTGGAGCCCATAGACATCTACAGCGTAAATGCGCCACGCACCTTGAGGTATAAGTTCTAAGGTCTCAGTATAGTTTCTGGTGTAGGTCTGGTGTAGCCGGTGTGGTGGAGCTCGATGGGGTTTAGTCGGTAGTCGTTCTGCGGGGCAAGTGCTTCGCGCGCCTTTTTCAAGGCGTAGTCTCTTGCGAGGAATTCGGGGAGGTGGAGGACCTTCTCGTTCCCCTCTTCTTATCAGGAGGCGCCGGAGTCCGACATAACCCGGTTCGTTACCCCCCCGGACCGGGTATCCGTAAATGGATTCCCCAGCGTTAAAAAAAAAACGATCTCAGTATAGTTACAACGGCTACCCCACCCTTCAAACCGAAATGCATTACTGCTTCACGACTGAAATAGGCAGGGAGGTGGTACCTACCCGTGCGGACTCACAAGAGGTCCTACCACCAGTAATAACGCAAATTATAATTTTGCGGGTTTCATTTTTATTACACGATGTTATTCCTTCACCGTGGAAGTCAATCGAGAACATTTGTTAAGTACGTATTTCATTAGAAAAGTTGGTACCCGCCTGCGGGATTCGAACACCGGTGCATCGCTACATACGAATGCACCGGACGTCTTATCCTTTAGGCCACGACGCCTTCGGCGACCAATTAATTTACCCGTACGAGTTTCAATATATGTACGCACATATTAATCTTCAATGCCCGTTTTAGCTATTTGTAATAAGTATGTGGACATCACCGCGATTGAAATAGTCATATTGGACATTAATATTGTTGTTAAACAAGTAAAAGCAAAATAGAACATCTCGATTGAAATTCTGTGTTGCAGAAAAACGAAAGTCATGCTTTTTGTATTTGTATATTTAAGTAGATAGGTAGGATGCCGTGTCCAGTTTGTAAAATAATCGTTATTGAGACGAAATTTAGAATTCGAATTCATGTCACTGTGGTGGTAAGGCATCGTGTGAGTCCGCGTGGGTAGGTTATTGAAGCTGCTACTGAAGTCAATAGAGACACAATATGAATACTTGCTTCGGCAGTACATATACTAAAATTGGAACGATACAGAGAAGATTAGCATGGCCCCTGCGCAAGGATGACACGCAAAATCGTGAAGTGCTCCACATTTTTCATGTACTTTTAGTTTAGGAATATTGTGTTCTTTTTTTTATAATAAATAAAATTAAATATGAATACTGACAACTACATTGAGACGCGGAATCAAAGTGTTAGTTTTCTTGGATAGCGGCTGTGCCACTTTTTAAACCGGAACGCTATAGACTCTGCTTCGCGGTACAAAGAGGCTACGAGCTAGTACCTATCCGTGCAAACTCATAATTTGTTTGTATAATCAGACAAATGTATAGTTGGTAGGACGTCTTGTGAGTCCGCACGGGTAGGTACCACCGCCCTGCCTATTTCTGCCGTGAAGCAGTAATGCGTTACGGCTTGAAGGGTGAAGCAGCAGTTTTTCTATAAAACTAAGACTTAGAACTTTAGTCCAATACAAATTTAGCCGTAAGCTCATCCACACGTCTGAACAATAAAAAACATGTTTTCAGGTAGTCCTCCACGTTTGACTGTAGAAGCAGTCCCGTTAGCATTTTACTGGTGGTAGGACTTCTAGAGTCCGCACGGGTAGGTATCACCGCCCTGCCTATTTCTGCCCTGAAGCAGTAACGCGTTTCGGTTTGAAGGGTGGGGCAGCCGTTGTAACTATACTGAGACCTTAGAACTCATATCTCAAGGTGGGTGGCGCATTTACGTTGTAGATGTCAACGGGCTCCAGTAACCACTTAACACCAGGTGGGCTGTGAGCTCGTCCACCCATGTAACCAATAAAAAAAAAACATTGGTTCATCTAGCGTTTCTCAACGCCATTACAACAATAATCAAAAACTACATAGTCAGCTTTTTCTCAATAATTCCATATAATTAAAAGTATATTATATTTCTTTGCCAGATTCCCTGTGCCATTCTCTGGTGTGTAAGAAGCGTGAGGTGTGTCTTCTCCGTGACGCTTTCACAGCTCTGTGCGCCACGAAGAAGGATATTATACGAAAAGGGTATTTGTAAATTCATGATTTATCACGCGCGCTGATGTACAAAGACCTTTTGCATATGTTTACATAATGACCGCTTGGAAGCGACCTACATTCGGTGTTCCTTTGACCTCTGTCAGATCGTCAGACTATCGTGCTAGAGCACTAATATACAGATTTACTTTTTTAACTAGATCAGTTTACATATTTCGAGTTACCCTTGTTGAGACTTGTGGGTGGATGCGATTTCCACAAGCCCGTATGTGTGACGATCAAATGTTTAATGTTAAGATAAAAAAAGAAATATATATATATTCTTAATTTATTTTAACATAATTGGAGTTTTTTAAGTACGGCAATTTATCATTTTAGTATAAATAAGTACTTCACAGGACATATCCCATAATGACTGGCCCGTCAATCGTTTTTCAATAGTGTGTAGCTGTGGGCAACAAAATAAACTTAAAAAATAAATCGCATTTTGTGTTGAACAATATCATCGTTTCAGCATCTCTAAAAGCTGTCTTCCGATCATGCTGATCCACTCTAACCAACACCTTTTGCTTTGTTCTGCCCCTGGCATTGCTGAAGTCCATGAGCGACGGTAAACACTCACCATCAGGTGGGCCGTATGCTCGTCTGCCTACAAAGGCAATAAATAATATAAAAAAAACACCCCCATATTTTTTCAAATCATAGGTTTTGAACTATTTTGATCCCACAATGTTACAATGCAATGATATATACACCTACTTAAGTACGCTTAAAAGTTCCACATCCAAAGTACCCGAGCATGAATTTTCTCCTGTGTTATGTACCCTGGAAACACAAGAACGATTCAGATGTCGAACTCAAAGCACCGCATCAAACGAATCTAGGTCACCCCGCTATATTAATGAGTTTCTCACAGTGAACGCCATGTAATGTAAATTTGTTGACAGCGACGTAATAGTAACAGCAACTGCCAATAGCTGGGAAGCACCGGCTAGAGATCGCGAAGATGACGAGGAAGATGTATTTTACGACAGTGCCGCCAGAGATACTGATGCAGATCTCGACAATGATGAGAATAAACCTGACCGGTTTGTAGTTTAAATTTATCTACCTATCTATCTTCTATCTTCTTCTTCTATATAATATATAAAAATTAATTGCTGTTCGTTAGTCTCGCTAAAACTCGAGAACGGCTGTACCGATTTGGCTAATTTTGGTCTTGAATTATTTGTGGAAGTCCAGAGAAGGTTTAAAATATGAAAATGCTCGGAATTAAATAAAAATAACAATTTGTTTTTCCATTTATGTGTCCCCCGTCGGACGGATTCCTTTTTTTTCTTGTTTTAAGTTTATTTTATACAAAAGTTTAGGTCTTTTATTTATCGATTGAGGCACTACGAAGTCTGCCGGGTCAGCTAGTCTTTAATAAATAATTATTTTTCGTAAAAATCGAAGTACATGATATTAAATAATCATATTATGTCGGTACATATCTATTATATTAGTGCTTATAAACAATTTGTGTGGGTAATATGTGATTATATGTACTTAGGTAATTGTATATTTTTATTAAGTCTATACAAAGTAATTTTCTTTAATTAACATTCATTTCATAATTTACACTTAGGTCACGTTTTTAAAAGGCACCGTTCTCTATAACTAAATAGTTTCCTTTTGCACATGGTTGCATTGAAGAGATTGCTCTAAGCGATAAGGCCCATTGTTACAAAGTTTATATTGAGAGGTGAAAGGCTATTTTTTTTTAAGCAACATTTCGCTTAACACACGACATTTGTCTTTGTAATTAAAGGTCCGTTTTATTTGGTATTAGTATCAACAATTCGGTGTTTTAAGCTATTGCATAGTTTTTATCGTGGGCTTTCAGCGCGGCGACCGAATCAACAAATTCCGTAACGAAAATAAAACCTAAGACCTCCCACTCCGCCTACCATGTAGATCGCGTTCAACACATTCACACGTTGCGCTTGTGTAGTGTTTGTGAATTAGCGCGCGCCGTGACATCGCACTGCATGCGCATCATAAAAAGTCTGCCCATCTCTCTCTCGCGCGATCTAGCTTATTATTGTCTAATTATAATTGCATAAGTTGATAAAAAATGCTATGCAATAGCTTTAGCGCGGCAATCCCCGAGTGCCACACGTGTTTTTTTAATTGAACTTCAATTATGTTTACTCCTTTTAAATAACTGAAGATGTTTTTTTGGTATGATATTTTTTTCCAAATTTTAAACTTTAAATGGCTCCTGCTGTAAAGTTGCAAAAATGTCCCTTAAACCAAATATCCTTTCACCACTAGAATAAAGTTTTAAGCCTCTATTGCTGTGTTTATCTCTACTGCTGTGTTATTTGTGATTTTCCAAGAAAAAAGAGTTTTTCTATTATGTAGCTTTCTAAATACCCATCCCGTCTGAAGTTGGTAAGAACCAGGCAGAATGCAGTATGAAGAGTGAAACATGAATTTTTAAATATCTACGGACGGGTGTACGTACGCTCTCCTAACCGATATGTTTTTAAGCAGTTACTGAAGTGAGCTTAATAGAGACACAACATGAATATCGACAACTACATTGAGACACGGAATTAAAGTCTTAGTTTTATTATATAGCGGCTGTCCCACTTTTCAAACCGGAATGTAGTACAAAAAGGCAATGTGCTACTAACCTATCTATCTGTACAAACTCAAAATTCGTTTTGCGACGGATGGTTAGACAACTTTAACAAAAAAAAAAATTGCTTAGATGGGTGAACGAGCTCACAGCCCACCTGGTGTTAAGTGGTTACTGGAGCCCATAGACATCTACAACGTAAATGCGCCACCCATCTTGAGATATAAGCTCTAAGGTCTTAGTATAGTTACAACGGCTACCCCACTCTTCAAACCGAAACGCATTACTGCTTCACGGCAGAAATAGGCGAAGTGGTGGTACCTACACGTGCGGTGGTACCTACAAGGGGTCCTACAACCAGTAATTTGATAAATCAACGTAACAGTAATTCGTGTTTATACAAAGCCATTGTTTGAGCACTTTTAGTTAGCCAAGTAAAGAAGCATCATTGTAAGAAAGCCTCAGGTAATAAACGTCGTCTCTTAATATGTAGTTCAACCAACACATTTCACAACAACAATAAATTACAATTTTATAGCTGTGTGGGTTGTCCGGTGCGCGGTCGCGGCGAATTCCTATGCGGTTCGGATAATCGCACATATTCGTCGTTGTGCCGTCTGGACCTTCACAACTGCGTTCACCGTAACAAGAAACCGGTGACGTTGGCTTGCCGAGGCTTCTGTCCGTGTCCTTCGACGCCGCGCAGAAATCGTCGTCCACACCAACGACAGAGACCTACCAGACGAAACTTCAACGAATACGATGATGTAAGGCTTCTAGTGAATTTCCATCTATTCATATTTTATAGTCAGACTAGCTGTAAGCGTCCGCTTCGCTGGCCATTTAAAATTAACATTATTATTTCTGACCCCCACAAAGATTCTCATCATTAACGCCCCTGCAACTGGTGTAGGGAGTTCAACACTCATATAAATATAAGCCTATCAATTAAGTACATGTATTTTCTACATGCATACCAAGTTTCAAGTCAATCGGATGCATGGTTCAATAGTTATAACGGAACATCCGTAAAAACCACTGTAGATTTATATATTAGTATAGATATTGACTCGTTCTGTTTATAAGCATAACATTTCGATGTTACTATAGTAAAATTCGATCTTAACGATTATATTGTGAATGTATTTTTTAGTGTCCGTACATAAGTGTAATAATGAAATCGTGAAAATACAAATACTGCTAGAACAAATACATACTAAGTATGGTTCTTAAACCCTTAATCATCACCTCCATTCAAATCAAGCCACCATTATTACATCATCTCTTTATCATCTTACCATCCATCATCATCAAGCCACAACATCATCGCCTCATCAATTTCATCGCCATCCAGCGGAAACATCACCCCTGCCTCGTTAGGCAGTGAATGCAAGCCCGGGCAGAGGGTATTACCTCGAGGCCCGATCCGTGCCCCCGTAAGAAGACCCAATGACAAATACATATTTCAATCTTCATAATACAGTCTGACTCGGAGTTTTTCGGGTATAATTTATGCAAATACAGTACCTACCATTTGTCATAATTATTAGATATGTTAAGATTAATTTTCAATCTATTAAATATTTAAGGATTGGCGACGCAGGAAAATGGAATCTTCGCACAACGAAGTCCTTCCCGAGAGAACTTCCCGAAGACGTCAATCACAAGGTCGTAAGCTAAATATTACAGTTATTTTAAATTTATTATATATGAGTCGTCTATTATCAAATTGGCAATCTGTGCATTTGGACAAAAAAATGTTATTGATATGTCAATACAGATTTATTTGAATATAATCGTCTCCTTCAAAGAATACGGTTCAAAACCTGCATTAAATAAAGGTTAATACTTAACCTGTTATTTATCTAAGATGTCGTTCAGAAGAGTTTTGTGACTGCCAATGGAATACAAAGTCAATAATTCGTTTTTNTGAATATAATCGTCTCCTTCAAAGAATACGGTTCAAAACCTGCATTAAATAAAGGTTAATACTTAACCTGTTATTTATCTAAGATGTCGTTCAGAAGAGTTTTGTGACTGCCAATGGAATACAAAGTCAATAATTCGTTTTTCTGATTTACCAATAATTATCCAAAAGTCACATTGCCGGCTTTGATAATAGTCGACTCATATATTATCTTATACTTCTTGCTTGGAGCAAAGTGTACTACTACCTGAGTAGATCAGCTCCGTAAGACATTTGCTTTGTATTTGTAGGCTTTGAATTTCCCACTAAAGCTAGTAATTAGTGGTAGTTTCAAAATTCAAGGTTTACTTAGCGCTACTTCAGTCGAACGTTGTTATCAGTATGTTAGCAGTCTCAGCGGCTAGATTATTAATCAAAATAAAAATTTGGCACAGATGAGGAATTGAGGGGAAGGTAGATCTGAGATTGGTCGTCTCAGAAGTTTTTAACCACAACTTCTTATGAAATTAGAGCAAAGCATTGTAATGACCGTTATCCATCCCTTCAAATTTAAATTGAGGATTGTATTATACCACAAATTGGGGAGACGATAATATAAACTTTGCGGTACCTATAAAAGAATCGCAGCATTTTAGTAATTGCCAATACTCCGGTTACAACTGTTGATTACAAACGATGCAAGTGTAAACATAGCTCTAACTATAAAACTTATAAAACAACCAAATGCCTTCTGTGAAAACCTGTACTTACATCTGAAATGTAAACCAAAATCAATAGCCAATTATAAGTTCTTCAAATAAACGTAGCGTTTCACTAGTTGTTCTTCTACCCGTTAAATGTAGACCTCTTTATTCGATTCAACTTTATTGACGGAGGTCCGCGATCTGGTTTATTTCTAGAGAATACTAATTCAATATTGTTACAGCCACTGAAGGCTGCGCTTTGGATAAAATGGCGAATCGTTTGCTCGACTGGTTCTCCGTTCTGATGGACGAGGCTGCTGAAAAAGCACCATCTGAAGAAGGTCAGTACTTATTTCTTTTACAGTGTCTATTATTTGCAAAAAATAATTCAATTAATGATCCCAACAAAGTGTATGTAAATTTTGATAGGCTTCCCGAATGATTGCAAACCAGAAGTACGCTGGATGTTTGCTCATCTGGATACGGATGGTGATGGAATACTGTCCGCTGACAACCTTTATTCCCTACGTAAGTATAAAAAATTTCACAATACCAGTACGCGTTATAAATAACATTTCGTCTTTTCGCCTTAAAAGTGTACAAATTCCAAAAATATTCGAAATTGAGTAATATGCGGAATTGGTATCACCAGTATTTTTATCATAAAGAGCTTAGTTTAGTTTTTTTTGCTTACCTATGTTTTGAGTACTATTAACAAAATTATTACATAATTTTATCTCACTTTAAAAGACAGAGAGTGTAACTGGTAAAAAATAAAAAATAAATGTTGCAAATATGATTAATATTAAAAGATATTACATGTTAGACCTTTAAAACGCTCTCCTGTAAAATTAGTATATTTTGAAATTGTACAGTTTTAATGCGAGAAGACGATTTGATGTCCACGCACCGCCTAAGTGCATAGTCAATATTGTCAGCGGCTCTAAATAAACATGCAATCCGCCACATAACTATTTTACATTCCCGATCCTGCGGACAGAATGGAAAGCAGTCGACGTCGCCCAAAACACGTCATCTCGGATCCTCCCGATCCACTAACGGTGCTTCTAGGTACTTCAAGCACCGGTCACCGTTCTCGTCGAACCCGTCGCTTGCGACGAAGGGCTCGACGAGTAAATTAACTCCCAGACACAGCCCACTGAGTTTCTCGCCGGATCTTCTCAGTGGGTCGCGTTTCCGATCCGGTGGTAGATTCTGCGAAGCACGGCTCTTGCTAGGGTTCGTGTTAGCAACGTCATCAGGTTTGAGCCCCGTGAGCTCACCTACAAAAGTTAGGGTTACGCTGACATAGCCTCTCAAGGCTCTCAGCTTAGGTAGGAAAAAAAAAATAAAAAAAAAATAACTATTTTAAAAAGGAAGATACTTTCGTTGAGGCTACGTTCGTCGAGTGTTGTTTGAAATAGATCATTTTGTTGTATCGACACACACGCCACCTTTTATGTGTTGACGGTAATATAGTAGAACGAAATCATTTAAACCGTAGAAAACTTAATTCAGTTCAACTTCCGATCGCATGTCCTGTCTTTCTTGCCTCGATTTGTGACCAAGTTTTATGCTTGGTGTTGAGTAGTTATCAAAACCTAAAGTTAAAAGCTTCTGTTTTTGTTATCAGGTCACGACGAACGCGAACGCTGTCTGCGACCGTTCCTATCGTCATGCGGAGGTGCTGGTGGTGACGTCACGCGTGCTGCATGGTGCGCGTGCCTCCGCCGCGCCGCCCGACCCTGCACCGCGCTAGCACGTGCGCATCCTCAACCTCACGCTGGTATACTTTTATTTTAATTTTATACAAGCGGCCCGCTCCGGATCCGCTCGGGTCTTTAACACAAATTTCAACGATATATGACGTTGTTTAATTTTTTTTTTAAAAAGAACACTTATTGCGGCATAACTATAACAGTTAAGCATATGTCGTCGCGACACATTTTGTAAATAATAATGTGTTCTACAAAGTCGTAGTACATTATTTTATTCTATCATCAATAGTTTTCGCAGGGCACGCGATGTAAAGAATATTTTAGGTAGTTTTTTTACACCTTGGGTTACATTATTGGAGTTGTAGTAAGCATCCCTAATTTTTTTCAAAAAAATTATAGCCTATGGCCCTCGGAAATAATATAGCTTCCAAACAGTGAAAGAACTTTTCAAATCGGTCCAGTAGTTTCGGAGCCTATTAAATACAAACAAACAAACAAATCTTTCCTCTTTATAATGTTAGTATAGATTGCTTAGGTGGGTGGACAGCATATTGGACTAACGCATCCTTAATAAGACAGCTCAATATCCAAACCAGGCTCTCTACCATCTGCCTCAAAAGGATATTTAGGTTTTTCGGTCACATTGCCAGAAAGAGCGGTGACAATCTTGAAAAATTGATAATAACTGGCAAGATTGCAAGCAAAAGATCTCGTGGCCGCAATCCAATGCGCTGGTCCGACCAAATCCGCACTACTCTGGATACCACACTACGATGCCATACACACCGAGAAGGATAATGGGAGGAAATTCTCACGACTTTCAGACATGAGGAATGCGACTCAGGGAGGAGGGTGGACTAGCTCACGGTCCACCTGGTGTTAAGTGGTCACCGGAGCCCATAGATACCTACGACGTAAATGTCGCCGCCCACCTCGAGACATTAGTTCTAAGGTCTCAGTTATACAGTACAACGGCTGTACCACCCTTCAAACCGAAACGCATTACTGCTTCAGGGCAGAAATAGGCAGGTTGGTGGAATCTACCCGCGCAGATTCATAAGACATTCTACCACCAGCGATAACGCAAATAATAATTTTGAATTTCGACTACTGCGGGACCACTACTTACTGTAGATACGTGTATTTTTACACATTCGTTTATGAACTTTGCAGGAGCCTACGTACCGTCGTGCGACGCGCGCGGCTTCTACAGACCGCGGCAATGTCACGCGGCTCTGGGCGTGTGCTGGTGTGTGGACGCGCATGGCGTCGAGCTGCCGGGCTCGCGGACCAAGGGAGCACCTGCTTGTCCCGGTACCTACATCTTATAAGCCGAATGGAGATATCTTCAACGTAAATGCGCCACCCACCTTGAGATATAAGTTCTAAGGTCTCAAGTGTAGTTACAACGGCTGCCCCACTCATCAAACCGAAACGCATTACTGCTTCACGGCAGAAATAGCAGGGGTGGCGGTACCTACCCGCGTGGACTCACAAGTGGTCCTACCACCAGTAATTACGCAAATTATAATTTTGCGGGTTTGATTTTTATAACACGATGTTATTCCTTCACCGTGGAAGTCAATCGAGAGCATTTGTTGAGTATTTCATTAGAAAAATTGGTACCCGCCTGGGATTCGAACACCGCTTCAACACGAATTCACCGGACGTCTTATCCTTTAGGCCACAACGACTTCAGAATAAGATACTGTCGGTACAGTATGGTCCTGTGCTCGAGTTTCCCACAAAATAAAGGAACTTTTGTTATACCTTTGAATACGGATATCAGAATGTAATATTTCGAGATTGTCGTGTTGAAATTGCGATCGTATCTTGTTGGATCTTTGATGATGATGATCTATGATCAAATTCATAGATCAAGAGGAAGAGGTAGACCTAAGAAGAAATGGATGGGTTGCGTGAAAAACGATATGGGTAAGAGGGAAATGAGCGAAGAAATGGTATATGATAGAGGAGTATCGAAGGAGAAAACATGTTGCGCCGTCCCCAGGTGACTTGGGTGAAGGGTAGGAGAATGATGAATAATTTATGATCAAATTATAATATTTAATCTATGAAAGTTTGTGGATTGTGTTAAATTTGTTAAACTAGTTCGAGATTGAAATACACAACCGCTGTGAACACGAAGGAAGGCGACGATTTGACTAGTTTATATTTATAAATCATTTTTGCATAATTCGACTTGTTTATGAGTACACAAGTACTTAAAACGTTAAAGATAAAATATCGAAAATTGGTCATTCAACTCTTGTATAACACTAAGTTTTAAAATTTTTAATTTAAGCTTCCTGTCAAACTGTCAACCAAATTTTACTTAATTTGTTCACTAGCTGCTGTAAATTTTTAATGGCAAGCAATAACAATAACTATAATCAGTATAACGTAAAATAATTTTGAATAATAATTGATGTCAATGTTATTTGGTTTAGGCGAGAAAACCTCAGAGAACGACAGCAACAATAGTTCTGAAGATGCGGACGGAGCACCGGCTGATGACGAAGACGCCGACGGCAGCGGTGACCAGGAGATGCGCTTCTAAATGTCGTCAAATTATAAAGTTCAACTTCGTCCTTTTTACTAGCAATTATACCCATATAAATAATATAAATTCCAAAATAATGAAATATTGTTTCTGAACTCGTCTGTAATATAAGCCTCACGTAGGAGATGAAAAAAAAGGAGTTTGATTCCTATTGCAAATTAACTACCGCCCCAATGTGCTTTTATATATTGAGTTATATTACAACATGGAATGAATTACTATACTTACAACTTTACTTATATGTTGACCGATATCATCACTTGAGTCAATCAAATATCTCAGGAATGTTAGGTTCCATAAATAAAGTATGTAGTTAGTTAGCTCTACCTAGTGATTAGCATAGATTCTTACTATTGCTGGTTCGCGGAATCCTCAGCTGTAGTTTATTGTTTAAGCCTAGTTATTCTTGACAGTGTCAAGCCTTTGATTATTAAAAGCCCCGTTGCCTAAAGAGCAACTGACGTAAAAAACTTTTTTTTTAACACGTTCCTTTGGCAATGACTTTAACCGCGTAACTTATGTCATTAATATGTAATCAACGTTGACTTCAAAATCTCGCATGGCCTTATAACCTTTGTAACGAACTTTTTAAATTGCAATAAAAATTAGTTTTAGTTATGTGGGTACTTTCGCATTAGATTGGTTGGTACCTACTGAATAATGTTTGTATAAATCTTTAGAACAATTCACGTTTGAGTGCTAGTTTACTATATATTTAGTAGAATTTAGCGCTACGTTATGTATTCTCAGGCATAAGTACTTACATTAGAATTCTAAAACATGATAATGAATTAGAATTATAGTCGCTGAACTTCAAATTCGGGGAGTAAAATCTTATAAATGTTACAAAAATGACTCCTAACCGTTATTCTTTTTTTTTATTAAATTTATAATATAGTCGAATAGTGTATGTTTTATGGAGAATGGGTAGGTAGGTAAATCTGATTTCAATTTACTTTAACCTAAATTTTGTTGTTATACCACTTCAGATTTACCTTCCTGGTTTGATTCCAGATGGTTGAATTTGTGAGTCAATTTCATTTCACTGACCGTCCATTGATTTGAACGTAATTTATAGAATGAATAGTCAATATCAAGAACTGGATGATTTTTTAGACAAGTCAGCCAACTGTAAACAACTACTGCTCTACAGTTTTTTTCATTGTTCTCAAGAATATCCTTAATTGATGTATAGTCCCATTTTCTAACAGGCTTGTTGTGCATTAAAATATTTCAAACGATTGAGTTACCTCTTTTAAAGTTCAGGGACTCGATAATTTATCAGATAATACTTAAAAAGGTATGTAGGTACTTAGTTTAGTATTGTGATCTAACGGCATTCGCAGCGGTACCTAAATAAGATAGCAAGATAGAAATATGTAACCACGAGCAATATTTATAAACCCCTCGTACTTGATTTATAGTTGTTTGTACCTAGTATATCTATATCGCTATATTATCTATTTCTATAAAATATTACGGCGTGGTAGATTTTTATAAGTAGTGAAAAGCTGTTTACGATTTATGAACTTTATAAGGACAAATTATTGTTTTGGGAAGGCGAAGGCATACTTACACATAAGGCCTAAAGTCGTTGTAAAATTTAAATTAACCGTCCCATAACAAAAAAAAAACAAATAAATTTAAGGTAAATAAACAGTTTTTAAACAATGCAATATATTAGCTGCTCGGTTGCGTATTTAGTTTAAGGTCTGTCAAAAGTAACCATTTAAACTGTCTTATGTTGATGATAATACGTACAAATTATGTAATTTTAAATACCAGTGCAACTTAATCTACAAGTGCTATAGAAAGAGATAGAGCTGCCTTTGCACGATGAAACCCAATCCGGTATCGCCCACTCATATAAACGTCACTCTGATACGACCTTTCGAGCCATTAATAGTTATTAATGGAGATCCTAGATTTTTTTTATCTCATACCATACCGTTCGCAATATGCGATATTAGGCATGTCTCATTGAATCTCAGTTCTATAATCATCAGAAAGTAGGAAAGGATGATTTTAATGTACCTAACCACTACGCTTTAAAAGACTAGAAAGTCGACTTTTAACGATCGAAACGGCCGAAATTTTCGTCCCCTTTCCGATCCGGCTACATTATGGTTAATGCTGCCCGCTTCACTAGCGTACTTACCAAACGGCGCCGCGGCGTCTCATTTACCCCGGCAGAAGAATCTTAGCTGTTGTAGACCTACCTTCGCTTGGGTTTTTAGGATTACCTACTCATCACGATCGAACATCTCTTTATTCATACTTCATATACTAATTACAATGTAATCGTCGATATAGATCTTAAAAAACAAGCTTATGAATGTTTGATATTACTAGTTAATTAGAAAATATAGTGTTGTATTATGGTATAGGAACATTTTTGTCTTAAAGCAGATGATGATTTTCTTGAAATTTTACCAAAAAAAATTTTTGTTTTACTATTATAGTTTTTTTATCATTTACTAAATTTTATAGTTAAATAATTATATTTCTGAATTGGATTGTTCCTTCACCTCGTATTCTTAAAAGTCATTTGTTGAGAAAATTTGTATTAGTGTCTAATACTCGTATTATGTACATGTAGAGAAACCACATAATAGTAAGAGAATTATTTGCACTTTTTTAAATCTCTCACAGTACTCTAAATAAATAAAAGCCTGTATTATTAAAATCTGAGTTTTATTCCAGCATTTAAATGAATCAATGTAACTGAAATTATTCTATTAATTATAAATTTTAGATAGATAGGCAGGATGCTGATGTGGATTTTTCTGTAGTTATCTTGAGACTTATATCGCCACAGAAACCTAGATGTTGAAAACAACCTGGATCCTTCGCGGAGTAGTCAGCGGCGGCAATGATAAGGCGATTATCATGACGCACAGCCTTATCGAAGTAACGCTCCGACACTGTCTTCATGTGTTTACGGATCGTTAACCTGGATTATGGCATTAACAGCAATAGGCCAAACAATAGGCTAGGTTAGATAAATATTTGAACAAGCATAGGCTGGTGATAGGACCTCTTGTGAATCCGCGCGGGTAGGTACCACCTTACCGCCTTACCTATTTCTACCGTGAAGCAGTAATGCATTTCGGTCTGAAGGGTAGGGCAGCCGTTGTAACTATACTGAGATCTTAGAACTTATATCTCAAGGTAGGTGGCACATTTATGTTGTAGATGTCTATGGGCTCCAGTTATCACTTAATACCAGGTGGGCTGTGAGCTCGTTCGCCCAACTAAGCAATAAAAAAATCTCCAGGGTACCCTCATCTAATCCACACTCACAAAGAGAAAGACTCTAATTTTGGCAAGAAAAACAAGAGAGCAAACATCACCAGCCAAGTCTAAGACAGATGACAGCTGAGAGTTTTTTTTATAGAATTGACGATGGGAAGAAAACCAGGGTTTAGAGGGAATGGTCGGTTGTATGTTACCAAAATGCTTACCTCTCTGGACTATTGCTAAATATTGGATCCAGCGGATGATGTAACATTTTTTGACTTTCTAAAAGCTTTAATGATTTTTAAGTTGCAATATAACATTTGTATTTTAATTTGTTTGTAATCTCAGTAGGAAACTCTCCGTACTCGCCCGGTGACGCTGATATGATCTCTCAAGACCATCAGATTAGGTAGGAAAAAAAGGCTCTCCACTACCATTTGAAACCACATCCATTTGAATCTAAACAGAAGAGGGCCATGTTAACCGTAATTTGATTTTTTTTTTTTTTTTTACGGTTTGTTAAGTCATGAGAATTGTTAGAAATTAATCCACTATCTCCTTTTATTATCTCTTTGCTAGTGGAGTTCTAGAGATTGTCCTTGTCGCAGACTGAAACGAACATTACTTTGATTATTTTTATTGCTTAGGTGAGTGGACGAGCTCACGGCCCACATGGTATTAGGTGGTTACCAGAGCCCATAAGCATAATGGTGTTGAAAGAGTCCTTAACAGTGAGCAGTAGCTTTCCTGTGGTCCTGTTATTGCTGATGTTTACGAGTGACACTGACCAAATGTACATGGGCCTTCAAAGGCAATAAAAAACAATACTTCTTGAATTTCAAGTTTTATTTAAAATCTAAACAGGATAACTCGTATATGGTACATCTAAGTTTATGATACTGGTGCTTAAATTTTTCTTGCAATTGATTCTTACTGATACTCATTAAATGAACAGCTTAGAATAGTAATTACAAATAGCAGTAGGGGTCTCCATAAATTATAAGTTTTGGAAGTACACATACTAAGAGAGAATCTAAGATTTTACAATTGGTTTGTCAGGGTACAGATAAAATAATACTCATAAATTTGAAACTTTTAAGATATAATTACATAGTCACCAATTCACAGTTTACACAAATAAATTAACTATACAGTTTTAGGAAAAACCTTCTTAATATTCACTCCTCCTCTTTGAGTCCCTTAAACTTTCCGTTGTAATAGGGTATATTTGCGACGAATACTTTCCAGTCCGTGAAATATAGGAGCGTTACAAAAGCAGCACCGCCGAACCCTCCGGCTGAAGACAGGAATGCGGTGGCGATTTCCAAATGTTTCTTGCCCACACGAACCATTTTTAATAGCTCTTGGTACTTTTTTAGTTGGTAACCGTATGAAATAAATTGTCTAACTTGTTACGTAAATTTTTACAGATGACAATTATTGTCAAGAGACTTTTTTAAAGTCAACTGTAATTGACAAAGGAGAAATAGCATAATACGTACTGTTACTGCCAATTCTTTTTTAAGATTTTTGTTATAAAAATGTTAAGAAATAATATTATGTTCCCTTTAGATATTTTTTTAAGATGTACTGTAATGAACCTTGATGAATAGAATCCAGTCTATGCTATATTATCATTTAATATGCTGGTGCACAGTTTAAATCTACGTCGTTCTTAAATAAAATTATAAAAATTAAATTACATATACAATATGCTTATAAAGTAAGAAGATCTTGTAAGCTTGTTCTAGATGCCCTTAAGCACGCAATAAAATCTAAAGAACCCATTTGTAGACATGAGGTCTGAGTTTCGATTGTATGACTACTTCGCAGTAGAAATAGGTAGGTAGCTGTGTGCATCTAATATCGTACATATATAAAGTATAATATACATACATTTAATAAACACCTAGTATCACGGGTAATAGTTTAACAAATTTAAAATTTTGGTGGATGAGGATGACATAGTTTATACAGTAACTTCTTTAAGCACCGAATACCGAATATATTTTCCTAAAAAGTCATTTTACGTCGAAATAGTCAATTAAAACAAAAAAAACTTTTTATGACGGTTCAGTAGATCTCAATGAGATAATTAAAGATTAGAGCTCTTTCAAAAAGTGCTTGGAATGGAGCTCTTAGTAAATTGCAGCCACACTGAGAGGTTACCTAATTCTTTTCATCTTACCAGTTGATGTCTTATCTTCGCTAATTTATTTGAATTTGAAATTAAATTCAAGCAAGCAGTATTTAGTTTCCTTTTATTCACTTTTTGGACAAGAGATGGTTTAAGCCTTTTGTTAAGACTAGGTTGTATAATCTATATGCCCTTAGCCCGTGTACTCGATTTTTCAAACAAAAAGCAAACTGAATTTGAAGTCGATTTTAATAGCGACTTTTTGGCGGGAACGCGAGGGGTGAAGTTGTGTGATTTGTTTTATTTTGTCTATTTAGTGTTTCTTCAGGTTTAAATGTGTAATAACTGTTTAATATCTGTGACAGTGCACAAATGTGGGAAAATGAAACAAAGCCGCTGGACGTAACGGCTCGGAATCCTCCAAAAAGTCCACTGAAAAAATCTCAGTAAATGACCACCATTTTACTGAGATTATATTTCATCCCATATCATCTCAATTCATTTCATTTAATTTCATCCCAGTTGATTGATGTCTCAAATTAATCATCTTCATTTCATTTCACTTCATATTATCATTTTGCATAAAAGTATCCCATATTATATCATTTCATCTCATTTCAATNGAATCCTCCAAAAAGTCCACTGAAAAAATCTCAGTAAATGACCACCATTTTACTGAGATTATATTTCATCCCATATCATCTCAATTCATTTCATTTAATTTCATCCCAGTTGATTGATGTCTCAAATTAATCATCTTCATTTCATTTCACTTCATATTATCATTTTGCATAAAAGTATCCCATATTATATCATTTCATCTCATTTCAATTCATATCATGTCATGTTTCATATTATTAATCAACTTCATTTCATTTCATAGTATCATATTTCATGAAATAAAAAAATATGTGTAAAAGATTAGGCTGTATGGTACGACACCTTTGCCTTTCCATTTGGATAAATAAAACTACTACTATTTTAGTCTCAAATATATTAAGTGTATAATCTATGGCTTACAATTTTCAAAATACAAAAGTACAAAACGTAGCTCCTAATAGCTAGTTGAGCTTATTACTAAAAACTAAGTGGTACCAAAAAAGAAAAGAATGTATTAGACATATTCAGTTTGTTTCTTAAATCTTTGGTCATGTGGGACACAAACGCATATTTGAGCGCATTGACGCCTAAATTCTATGTAGCATTAACAGGCACTTCGTCTTTGATATCAGGACTCATTCTTATTTTCGAATGGTGGTATTTTAGAAAATACGGTACCTCATTTATAGAACAAGTATCGCTATCACATCTTGGACCATGGTTAGGTGGCGGCAATGAGACGGATAATTCAAATACTAATACAAACAATACAGCTAGTAATGAATGCAAAGTTTGGCGGAATCCTATGGCTTTACTGCGAGGCGCTGAGTATGGGAGACTTTGGAGTGCCGCAAGGCGAGCTCCACTCACCTATTACGATATGAATTTATCAGCTCAAGACCATCAGGCCTGGTTTAGTTGTGGAGGAGATGTAAGTTTTCTATTTAGGTTAAACTTTTATAGATGCTTACAGAGATAGAATGTTATAGTATGTTTAGTAATCAATTTTAAAGACAAAAGAGTACGCTTATGTTGAGAATGATTTAAAATAGTGCATTTTTATTCAGTATTTACAGTCTATTTATTCAAAAATCCCACACTAGGATTATAATTTAAATAACAAACAGTTCTAAACTGTATATCAAGTGAAGAGTCGGTGTTAATAGATACCATATATATTGTGATACTTCTGTCTAATGCACTAGATTGAAAATTAGGGCCCTGTAACAGCGATACTTTAAGACTAATATTTTTTTGGATGGAAAATAGCGACATCTTGCAGCGGTTGCCCCTAAACTTATATGTTGTTAAAGTTAAGACATTTAATTATTGTGTAACTAAACACAGAAAATAAAAAAAATTATAAATAATACAAGTCTTTATTTGTTATAGAAATATTGATTAAATTTTATCAATTAGTGGTTTCTGAAAGCTTCAAAATCCTTCATTAAAAATAAAGTATAGGATAGGTAATATGTTACTGCCATCTACAAAAGCAATAGAAACTAATTGAAGCGAAGCCATTTAGTGGCCGATGCCCGTAAACATTTTTGTTGAATGCTTGAGTGGTTTATCTATAACTAGTTTATTCAAAATTACTACTATCTATTTGAAATAAAATTGTTTGTAATATTAATCCCTATAATTGTCACATATATTGCAGAAAGTTTTTGAGAGAAAAGTCTAATAAAAAATATTAATTTAAAAAAAATTCAAAATCAAATAAATTCACATTCTAAATTCTAAATCTGTACAGGTCTATACCTAATACCTATAATCAACTTTGCAATAGTCTGTATTCTGATGCTCTGCATTAAGTGAGAGGTTAATGAAATTTAACAATTCACAATTTTGATTTACAGCAAAGCCCTGTGGAAGAAGCAATGAATCGTGCATGGCGTGAACGTGAACCTACAGCCCGTGTGGCAGCTGCTCGCACTGCACTAGCTAGAGATCCAGACTGTGCTGCTGCATTGTTGTTACTGGCAGAGGAAGATTCACCGACCGTACAAGAGGTATGAGATGATAAAGGGATCATTAATCTTTATGCTAATGATGGTAGAGGAATGTTGAGCTATCATCAAAAGACAGACATATTATAGTACTTTGGGTCCAAATAGATAGATTTAAACTTTGTGTTTGATGTTGAATTAACAATAATATTTTGTTGATATTCGTGAATTGAATAATCTTTTTTATATGTAATTATATAATATGTTATAATAGTTTCAAGGTATAATATGCTTACATTCAAAATTTTTGTCTTAGAATTTAACCACAATCATTTACCTGTATTATGTAGAAAGACAGTGATTTGAAACTTTGTCTCCAATGGTTATCTGAAATTATTCTTGGATTTGCAGGCTGAACGTGTACTGAAGAGAGCTTGGCGAGCAGCTGAGGCGTCTTGGAGAGCGCACGCAGCCGCTGGATCTGCATATGCTAGCGCAGCCCGACGCGACGCGGCCGTGCTAGCCCACGTCAAGCGTCGAGTTGCTATGTGCGCTCGTCGTCTCGGCAAACTCCGCGACGCCGCTAGAATGTTCCGCGAACTAACGCGAGACGCTCCTCCCGCCCTCCACGCAATGTCACTCCATGAAAACTTGATAGAGGTGCTGTTGGAGCAGAGGCTGTATGCGGACGCGGCTGCTGTTGTTGCGAGATTTGAAGACGCAGGTGCTCCGCCTTCAGCAGCGTTATTGTACACGGCCGCGTTGTTGAGAGCACGTGCTGCCGTCGGCGTTGGTGCACGTCCCGGAGCAGAGGTCATTGCTCTGGAGGTCTGTCTGTCTGACGAAAAGCCATATAATAATTATAAATTAAGTTTTACTGGTGGTAGGACCTCATGTGAGTGCGCGCGGATGGGTACTACCACCCTACCTATTTCTGCCGTGAAACGGTAATGCGTTTCGGCTTGAAGGGTGGGGCAGCCGTTGTAACTATACTTGAGACCTTAGAACATATATCTCAAGGTGGGTGGTGCATTTACGTCGTAGATGTCTATGGGTTCCAGTAACCACTTAAAACCAGGTGGGCTGTGAGCTCGTCCACCCATCTAAGCAATAAAAAAAACAAACAGTATTTTTGCGATTCTTTCCTTGACAAAAAGCTATGTAATAATTATACATTTATAATAAGCAGCATACAATTTCAATGGTAACTTGGTATGTAATGTGGAGAATGTGTTATTAAATAATTGTACACATGGTAATTTTATCTAACTGGATGATATTCTATTTCTAAGTTGGTCTTATTACAATATTATCATCATCTTCACTCTGTGGGTAGGAATAATAAAGCTATTTATCCAGTTTTCTTACAAAAAGTTATCCACGCATAATCCTGTGTGATAAAACAATAAAAAATATTGGAAAAATATATATTTTGATTGCGATTAGATTTATTAACATTGGTGTTAATCTGTATAATCAATGGCAGTGTTTCATTTTGTTTTATTTTCAGGCAATACGTCGCGCTATCGAGTTCAATCCTCACGTGCCCGAGTACCTATTAGAATTGCGCGCTTTAACTTTACCACCTGAGCACGTGTTGCGTCGCGGCGACAGCGAAGCGGTCGCGTACGCGTTTTTCCACTTGCGACACTGGCGGAACGCGGAGGGCGCGCTGCGGCTGGTGGCGGCGGCGTGGGCGGGCGCGGAGCGGGCGGGCGCGGGGGCGGGCGCGGGGTGCGCGGCGTGCGCGGACCGCGAGCTGCTTGCGCCGCACCACGCCATGTCGGCGTTCCCGCGCCGCCGCGCAGCGCTCCTCCCCCTGGCGGCAGCGCTGTGCGCGGGCTGCGCCGTGCTGGCGCTGGCGGCGCACCGGTGGCCGGCGCATGCGCACGCGCTTCTCGACCCGCGCCGCCTCCACTCCCTGTTGGCGGCCGTCTGATCGCTGTGGCCGGACGCGCCGGCTTCAGACACAGAAAACTGAACTTTAAGTTTTCTCTCACTGTGTTTATTTGAACTATTCTTTTTTATAAAGAAATGTGGGTTAAATTATCACGTTGACTACCGTGTAGGTCCCCGGTGCCCTACGTGGCGCACTGAAGTAACTACGTCGATTTTAAAGTGAAACTTTACATCGTCTCAAACTTTTTCGCCTGTGTGTTGCATGTCGCGTGACGGTCGGCCGCGGAGTAGGGATAAAGTGAAAGGCGCTCGTCAGAGCAGCCAAGGCCAATATGGCGGCGCCTACAGTTCGACGCAGCTGACCGTGTAGTGTATAGACTATTACTCATTTGTGCAAGTGCTCTACGCAATTTTGTTTGTTTTTATCAGTGTTTAATGTAAATGTTGTTTGTCAGAGTTAAATGTCTATAATGTGAAAAAAAAGTTTCATTTTTACCGTGGTTTCATAAAATCACACAATCCTTTTTTTTGTGACTAAGGAACCGGGATTGACCAAATTTGCCTACTTTTGTTTGTTAATGTATGTTTTGGTCTTGTAAGTCTCTTAGAAATAGATTGTTTCTCAGCATCGGTCGGTTTCGTCGCACCCAGAGTCTACTATAGATATTTCGGCGTCTTAGTAAAAAGAGTCTTGAAGAGAGAAACCGAAATAATTACTTCAGTGCGCCCCGTAGGGCACCGGTGACCTACACGACAGTTTACGTGTTAAACAAAATCTCTTGTGACTTTTAAAACGTTTTCTCACTATTTTTATTTGAACTATTTGTTTTTTATAAAGCATTGTGGCTTGAATGAACGAAATCTCTTTGACTTTTAAAACTTTTAGTTCCGATCGATCATCAAATGCATCTAAAACGTCGAAAGTTTGTAGTGAGTATTGAAAATAAATCGGCAAGTGAAGTTTAGTGATTCGACAAAAACAATTGTGAAATATTAATTGTAGACTGTAGTGTTGTGGTATTTGTCTGTCCTAGTGATGTTTCTGAATGTGCTAGTATTTATTGAATGTGCTTATTTGACGTAATAATTAATAATTTAACTTAATAAAATACTAATAGAATATCTTATTAATGTAGTTTAATTTACCATTTCAAAATAGGTATTTTAAGCCAAGATTTTAGTTGAGCCAATAATATTTTGATATCATTTTCGTTACTAAGTATAGATGGGTGGATAAAACCACAAACCACGTAGTGTTATGTGGTTATCGAAGTCCCTAAGTATCATAATGTGTATGAGATATGAGGTCGAAGTTATTGTATAGCGTAACAGCTGAGCCTCGATTTGAAACGGAATACGTCATGACCAAATAGTGCTGAGTATTCAGAATACTTGAGTACTTTTGCGGATAGTACTTAGTGGTAGCGACTTGGCTCTGCCCCTGGCATTGCTGACGTCCATGAGCGACGTAACCATTTACCATCAATTGGGCGGTATTCTCGTCTGCCTACAAAGAGAATAAAAAAGATGGGTAGTGCCAACAGAGTTGATGCTTTTGACATGTAGTGTCGGCGCCGCCTATTAAGGATTCCATGGACAACCCACCGCACGAATATCTCGGCCCTACAACAGCTTAAAATGGAGAACGCTCAACGCCACTCGCTGCGGAGCACTCGTCATCAGATATGATGTGAACTGTGTGGTTAGTGCGAGCTTTTTAACGTTCTCGATAGCGTAAAAGTTAACTCATATTTGTATGCAGTTTATCACTGGTGGTAGGACCTCTTGGGAGTCCCCACGGGTAGGTACCACCACCCCGCCTATTTCCGCCGTGAAGCAGTAATGCGTTTCGGTTCGAAGGGTGGGGTAGCCGTTGTAACTATACTGAGACCTTAGAACTTATATCTCGAGGTGGGTGGCGCGTTTACGTTGTAGATGTCTATGGGCTCCAGTAACCACTTAACACCAGGTGGGCTGTGAGCTCGTCCACCCATCTAAGCGATAAAAAAAAAACAGCGCTCCTAGCGGCAAATGTAGGCAAACGCTCCAACTCCATACAAATTTGAGTTAACTTTTACGCTATCGAGAACGTTAAAAAACTCGCATTGAGCACACTGACAGTCGCATCACTCAATGACAGTACATCGGATGCCTTACACCGGGTAATAATATTGACGATACTGTTTTGGAGTTTACTCCTTTAGAATCGATTTACATATATAGGCCCGGGGTATGAAAATTATGGGGACCAAAATCGTACTAGCATGTCACACGAAATGCGTTATGCGCCTGATTGGCTCCTGATTGCGTGATGCGTGCGCGCGCCAATCAAAATCGTACTAGCATGTCACACGAAATGCGTTATGCGCCTGATTGGCTCCTGATTGCGTGATGCGTGCGCGCGCCAATCAGGAGCCAACGCGCGGCCGCGTTATCGCAGGTGACGCCGGGCTGCTGCGCCGGCAGTCCGCCACAAAGCCTCGTACTGATCGCGCGTTTCTCTCATTATTGTATTTTCATATATTTGTTAGTCGTTTGTTTTGTGTCTCGTTAATTTGTTAATAATCTGTAGTGTATCGTGTTGTCGTAATATAGAACTATTTCTCGTATTGTTTCGTTTAATTTTTTATATCCAGTAAACTCCAGTCGTGCGTCGGAGCGGACACACACACTTTTTTTTTTTCTATTTTCTTTGAGTACTTATTTGTCAGGCAACCTCAACTCTCTTTCAAAGTTGCGAAAGCCGGCGTCAAAGGAACGGTTGGATGTGTTTATCCCAATCCCTTTGCCTATTCTCCACAATTTTCGCCAGGTATCTCTCCAATATTTGATTAAACCACCACTCCATCGGATTGCGGGTGATAAGATGTGGTTCTAGTTTTGCGGATACCCAAGACTGCAAGTCTCTTGAAATACCTGGGACTCTAAGCTCCTTCCTTGGTCACTGTATTTCTAGGGGCACTCCAAACCGTCAGAACACTTCGTGTACCTACTAATTTATCGGCGATCGTCGAGGCTTCTTGATTAGGAATGGCGAAGAATTCGGGCCACTTTGTGAAATAATCCATCACCACCATGAAGTACTTGTTTCCATTGTCACTTTCCGGAAACGGGCCGGCGACGTAAATTATTAGTGACAAGTCACATACAAGTATAAACTGGTTGGTATATTTATATTATACTACCACTCCATTTCCTGTACGAAGCGTTGAGACGTTTTGAACGGTAAATAGAATATGTATTTAAATATTTCATCTATTATTTGTGTTGTTTCATGAAAATTATTCGAAAATATTCAAACCAACACTTCATCGTTAGATTGTTCGTTCCATTCGTATTTTATTATCGGTATCTAAAAGATAAAATTTCAGGGTGGAACCTTTATGTATAATGTGGGCGACAAAAGACAAAGAAAGGGACAAAGGCAATTTTTACAAAAATCACAGCGGAATCACTTTCGATAACGGGTTATTACAATGTCATTCGTTATTATTCCATCGAGGATACACCAAATATTGTTATGATAATCAAGTGCCTTACTGGTTCTCGCGGCTACGACCACGAAGGATAATCTTGTAGGTCGTTGCTCGCTAGGAGTTGTCAGGCGCTTCGTCAGTTCAGCGGTGGCACTCCGCCGGAGCGGATGTGTTTGTTTTCGGGATATTTATTTTGAAACTCGGTTCGTAAATCGCGAAATTTATTTTACAACGTTTGACTTACTTTGGTTATAATGAATTTGTGATTAGAAATTAAACAATGAAAGTTGCGGTTCTTCGTTTGAGGGCATATTTTGATTTTATTTTTAAATTTGGATTTTGATTGTTAATAATTGTAAGTTATTAAAAATGTGTTAACTGTGAAAAGAAAATATATGGTTCGTAAATACTTTTGGAATCACACACACATAAACCACATATTTTACACATTAGTTATTGAACAAGAAAATGTTGGAAACGTATCGAAAGTTCTTCAAAGTGATCACAGTAAGGGACGTTTCTTGTTTGTTTAAGCTGTGATTCGATAAGCCGTCGTTACGAAGTATAAAGTGAGGAAGTTTCTTGCGTGGTGCGTATGCGCGGGCGCCGTGAAGCCGTCTCGTAGCCGGCAGGTTTGTTCTGTACTACAAGGATAAATCGTCTTCTCGCATTAAAGCTGTTTAAGTAATGTCAAAACTTACCTACTAATTTTACAGGAGAGTGTTTTCAAGGTTTAATATGTTGTGATATTTGTTTTGTTACATTGTTCATAGTAAGGGATCGGTTATTTAGCTAAGGGTACAGTCGTCTATTGTTTTTTTTGCTTATGTGGGTGAACGAGCTCACGGCCCACCTGGTGTTAAGCGGTTACCGAAGTTCATAGACATCTACAACGTAAATGCCGCCACCCACCTTGAGATATAAGTTCTAAGGTCTCAATATAGTTACAACGGCTCCCCCACCCTTCAAACCGAAACGCATTACTGCACGGGCAACGACTACTTATGTTTTGTTTTTAATACGCTTTTATTAGCATCAGACGTATGTATGTTAGTATGTAACGGAATCTTTGAACATGATTATGACCCCCTTCAAAACGTCGGATTAACTCGAAATTTGGCATATTTATTAAGGACCGATGACAATGAAAAATATTTAAGAAATAAAATTGAAAAAATTGAAATTCAACTAAAAAATGAAAAATAAATAATAGTTTAAAAAAAAACTAAAAAAATATGCTTTTATAGAAAATCCAACTAAAGAATAGAAAATAATTTTTTATAATTTTGAATTAAAAATAGTGTAAGAAAAAATGATTTTATCGTAAAAAAAGTGCGGGGTGCATGGTATCAGTAGTTATAAATATTTTATGAACAGACTAGCTGACCCGGCAGACTTCGTAGTGCCTCAATTGATAAAAGAGATAAACTTTCGTATAAAATAAACTTAAAACAAACAAAAGGAATCCGTCCGACGGGGGACACATCAAAGAGAGAAAAAAAGCTATTTTTATTTAATTCCGAGCATTTTCATAATTATCTACCTTTAAAACCTTCTCTGGACTTCTACAAATAATTCATACCAAAATTAGCTAAATCGGTCCGACCGTTCTCGAGTTTTAGCGAGACTAACGAACAGCAATTCATTTTTATATTTAAAGAGATATGAGTAGAAGAGTTATTTTGATAATATCTCGAAAAGCACCACACGCTTTTAAATTATTATTTATTACGTATGATAATTTGGTTTTCTCATTTATTTGTTGTTCAGATCGGATGCACGGGCG